GGTCAAAAGTGTGCAACGCAGTGAAGGAGACATCTCCGACCCTATAAAGTATATATATTCTTGATCAGGATCACCTCCTGAGTTGATATATCCGACCTACCAAATATCATAAGGATCGGCCGACTATATCCTATAGCCGCCATATATCTGATGGATCGGAAATGCCATAACTTTAGTATTTAATAAGTTAGGAAGTTGGGATTTTCTATGAGTTTTATTTTTGGCCAATCAATCCGACCTATCAAATTTCATAAGGATCGGCCGACTATATCCTATAGCTGCCATATAACGGAACGATTGGAAATGCCATAACTTTGGTGTTTTTAAAGTTAGGAAGTTGGGATTTTTTATGAGTATTAAGAATGCATTATATGAATAATTTTGGAGAATATATTATATATACATTATATTCTGCAAGGGTATATCAACTTCGGCTCCGCCCGAAGTTAGCTTTCCTTTCTTGTTTTTCTTCTATAACTCTACCCGTGTCAATTGTAGGGTGATATGGATCTTCAGGTTGCGTGAGTGGTGCTACTCTGGACAGAAACACACTTTCAGGATTTGATACAAAACTCAAATCAAGAATTTCAAAAATAGTTTACTTGAGATAAGGATATGTCAAGCAGGCCGTCAATAAAATCATGCTGTTCTATAGGTAGTAAGACATTCGATCCATCCTCAGTGGACCAGGTAACTCCAGGTATATTAAAATCCCTTCTAACTGATCCCTATCGGAAAGCTTATTTGCAACAGACTAAATAACGGAAAGGTGATTTAAATAATCAGGAAGTTCAGACAACGGCGGAATATATGATATAGAGTTACCAGGAAGCTATAACTTTACACAATTAAATTCAATGGTATTTAATTCTTCAAAAAAAGAAAAAACCTCTCCAGGCTTCTGTAAACACAATAATTTGAGATGCAAATTTAATGGTGAAGCTACTTTTGAGAGATAGGTGGATCCACTAATTTTAAAACCACTACGGACAAATCTAAATTCTTAGAAGTCCCTGGTTGCATGCATTATGTTAAGAGAGGCATTCGTAAATTACCATCGAAATGGCAGCAAATAATTGAACAAAACGGTACATATAGCAATTAAATCGGACATCTTAAAATAATCGTCAAAAAACAAATAAAGAAACAGGTATGTTATTTCCAAACAACTTAATATTTATGATGTGTGCTTGGAAGGGCATTATTTTACTAGTAAATTCAAATCAGTTAATCACTTCTCGAGATAAAAAATAACAAGAAAGGAAAGCTAGCTTCGGGCGGAGCCGAAGTTGATATACCCTTGCAGAATACTCTGTAAATTATATTCTCCAAAATTATTCATATGATGCATTCTTAATACTCATAAAAAATCCCAACTTCCTAAAAAAACCAAAGTTATGGCGTTTCCAATCGTTCAGTTATATGACAGCTATATGATATAGTCGGCCGATCCATATGAAATTTGGTATGTCGGATTAATTTGCCAAAAATAAAAATCCCAACTTCCTAACTTTACAAACACCAAAGATATGGCATTTCCGATCAATCAGTTATATGGCAGCTATAGGATATAGTTGGCCGATCCCGGCCGTTCCGACATATATACTGCGTGCAAAGGAAAGAAGGGTGTGTGCAAAGTTTCAATTCGATATCTTTAAAACTGAGAGACTAGTTGGCGTAGAAACAGACAGACGGACAGACAGACGGACAGACGGCCAGACGGACAGACGGACAGACGGACATGGCTATATCAACTCAGGAGGTGATCCTGATCAAGAATATATATACTTTATAGGGTCGGAGATGTTTCCTTCACTGCGTTGCACACTTTTGACCAAAATTATAATACCCTCTGCAAGGGTTAAAAAAAATTGTTAATAAACTTAAAATACTTTTGACAAAAAGCAAACTTGGGGATGCCGAAGTTTATATACCCTCACAGCTGTTGAAAAAATTAAATATTTCATATTTCTATTCTTTAAGGTAACCCCTTATACCATTTTTTTCAAAAAAAATAGGAATTTTTGTATTTTTTTAGGTTTGTAGCAATTTTGATTATTACATGAACTATTCTATTTTCTAAAAGTTCAGGTTGTTGATAATGTTTGTGCAAAAATTTGTGAAAAAATGTTGAATAGTTTTTAAGGGGTGGCTGTTTCCCTTAAACGTCTCTTTTTGGAAGAGCTTTGCGGTGATAGTTCCCCATGTCGACAAGGTCAACTGAAACCGTAAAAATAAAAGAATTTCATTAGTTTAGAGTAATTTCGTGTATCTGAACGATCGTTTTTATAATTTTTTTGTTTGTTCATACGGGAACGTTTTATGCAAAAAATTTTTCGAATGAAAATTTGGGTAAATGTTCTCAAGAAGTTGTTCTTCAAGATAAAGCAATAAAAAATGTTTAGTTTTTTTGAAAATGAAAAGGTATATAAAAAGCTATGTCGATTTTCCGATCGTTCCGATTTTTATAAAAGTAAAACCATAATTTTGAAATTAATAAAAACTGACTTTATTTTGGTCTATATGGGTATATGTTAAAAAGCAATGAAGCTATAATTTCATTTCCCTTTTCCCGATCTTTCCTATGACAACTTATGATACATTCGTTCGATTTTAATTAAATTAAATCGATACTTCTCTGAGTATATTGATATATTTTAAGAAACAACGAAATCAGTAAGAAACAAATTGTTCAGTAAAACTATGTTTAGGTTAATTTTTTTATTTACGGAAAAGAAATTTAAAAAGATTAATCGTTTGCCCATTTTTTTCCAACTTTGCCCAATAATTCGGTTTTTATGTCCACCATTATCTTTGAAAAAATGTTTGAAAACATAAAATAATAAAAAAGGAAAAACTTTTGAAATTATGTAACTATTAATTTGGATTAAATTATCATAACAAAAAATTGAGTGCCAACCTCTTTAATAAATTATTTCTAACAAGAAAGAAAAGCTAACTTCGGACGGAGCCGAAGTTGATATACCCTTGCAGAATATTCTGTAAATTATATTCTTCAAAATTATTCATATGATGTATTCTTAATACTCATAAAAAGTCCCAACTTCCTAACTTTAAAAACACCAAAGTTATGGCATTTCCAATCGTTCAGTTATATGGCAGCTATAGGATATAGTCGGCCGATCCTTATGAAATTTGGTAGGTCGGATTAATTGGCCAAAAATAAAACCCATAGAAAATCCCAACTTCCTAACTTTACAAACACCCAAGTTATGGCATTTCCGATCAATCAGTTATATGGCGGCTATAGGATATAGTCTTCCGATCCTTATGAAATTCGGTAGGTCGGATTAATTGGCCAAAAATAAAACTTATAGAAAATCCCAACTTCCTAACTTTAAAAACACCAACGTTATGGCTTTTCCGATCGTTCAGTTATATGGCAGCTATATGATATAGTCGCCCGATCCGGCTCGTTCCGACTTATATACTACATGCAATAGAAAGACAACTTTTGGGAAAGTTTTAAGCAGATAGCTTTAAAACTAAGGGACTAGTTTGCGTAGAAACGGACGGACGGACAGACGGACAGACGGACATGGCTATATCAACTCAGGAGGTGATGCTGATCAAGAATATATATACTTTTTAGGGTCGGAAATGTCTCCTTCACTGCGTTGCAAACTTTTGACTGAAATTATAATACCCTCTGCAAAGGTATAATAATTAAGAAATGTCCATGTTTCGTGGGCAATCGTTTTTAGTTAGAGATAAAAAAAAGAAATTGTTCGCTCTTAAAAATAGTTAATTTGAACTAAAAACTTTGCTTTTAAAATTATTATACTTTAAAATTATTATACTTTATTATTTTTTAAAAATTTAATTTTTCAAAACCTTAAAGGCCGATACTTGGAAGAAATAAATAAAGCTTACCTCATAAAATTAAGAAAAAATGTTCTTTAAAAACTAATTTGTGGGCAAAAAATGGGAAAACGATAAAGCTTTTCAAGCGACTACGAGACGACGGCCGACAATCCACTGGTAAGAAGAGACGTTTTATAACAAATGAGACTTTATAAAGTCGTTTATTGAGACTAAAGCTTGAAAATTTTCAATTGGGGCTTAAAGTGTAACTATCATCAATGTTTTGGCGAGTATCTTTGAGTTTTCAGCTTTTACCCTTTCACCATTTCAGTCAAAAGTTTGCAAAGCAGTGAAGGAGACATTTCCGACCCTATAAAGTATATATATTCTTGATCAGCATAGCCAGGAGAGTCGATCCAGCCATGTCCGTCTGTCCGTCCGCCTGTCCGTTTCTACGCAAAGTTTCTATCTGCTTGATTCTTTCGCAAAAGTTGTCTTTATATTGCAGGTAGTATATAAGTCGAACGAGCCAGATCGGGCGACTATATCATATGGGAGCTACCCATTGGAACAATCGGGAAAAAACATTTTAAAAAGTATAACTTTGTCGTTTTTTATTTTTTTTGTTGTTCTTTGGGATGTGCTAATATTTTAATACAACATCTACTTGAAACTTTCCCAAAAGTAGTCTTTCTATTGTACTACCTGCAACCTGCACTATAAGTCAAAACGAGCCGGATCGGCCGACTATATCATATAGCTCCCATAGTTTAAAGTTTTATAAGTCGGGCTCCCATTGTCAGTTAAAAATGTTATGCCGCTGTGAACGACAGTACACGAATTGACAATTCGGACAAGAGGAGTGTGCAAAGGCGACTACTATATACAGCTGTAGGATTAAAAATCTGTTGTGATGGTTCGATTGGAATGAGTATTGCGTTAAATAATGGGATTGAACACTTTAAAAATGGAAATTTAAATTTCGAAAAATAAAGCTGTTGCGGAGGGTGGGGCATTTGATTAATTTAGTCGAATTGATTTGATTTAGTCGAATACTTAATCATTAAATCATTGATATTTTTTGATTTTTTTGTTGAAAGTCACGCTTTTTTTTACCTCGATATGTATTTGTTTGTTTAGTTCTCGATTAAAAGACAGTTGTTGACTTGGTTTTATTCATTTTTATTTATCGTGCATAATATAAGACTTAAATAATATATTTTATTATACTTTAAATACAATAAACATTAGTATCGCTAAGAATTTGTTTGAATTCGAAAGGGGTTTTTCATTTCCTTTAAAATAATTGATGCAAAATCATGGTTTATATATAAACACATACACAAAACAGACTTACATATTATGTAAATATATTTATGACTATATTTTTTGTTAGAGTTGTAATAAGCAAAAATTCATAAATATTAGCAATTTAAAAGAAAATATTTAGAATTTCTGCGTTTATAGTCTTTGTATTTTAGAACGTTTTATTTGGGCATGTTTGTAAGGAAAGTGATTAAAAAATGAAAAAATGATGGAAAATACTGTTTTAGTAGAGTGTGCTGGAAATTAACAATAGAAGGTAGATGAAAAGTCAGTCTAACAACGGAAAGTGTACTAGTATAGCAAAGATAAGAGAAGGGCGGCTACAAATTTGGGGTCTTGAGGTATTTTATTCAGCTATGGGGTGAGTTAATCCTTTCTATATGGTTATATTTTCTATTGCAAGCCACAGCCATGGCACAACATTTGTATACCCTTGCAGAAGGTATTTTAATTTTGGTCACACTTTTGCGACCCTATAAAGTACATATATTCTTGATCAGCGCATCATTATCATCACTAGGCGAGTTAATATAGCCATATCCGTCTGTTTCTATACCATTTGCGAGCTTAGCTTTAAGGCTAGACATTTAAAATTTTTGCATTCTTTGTTTTATATGTTAACGCATGTTTGAAACACCTTGAGTTTTATTAAAATCAAAGCTATCATATATCTGCTATACTGGCTCTAACAAAAACCCATTTGTATTTTTTTTACGTGTGCACGACTCATGGCAAAATTCGGACGACTATATCCTATAGCTGCATTAGGAACGATCGGGTAAAATGATGTTGTTTTCAAAGAAATGTGCGTGTATCTCTCATTCTATTTAATTTCTTAGCTTTCATATACTTTTTCGCATCATTAATTTTCGGTAAGACTGCAAGGGTATTAAGACTTCGGCTTGCCGAAGCTATCTTCCGTTCTCGTTTCATTAAATCTTTTTAGGAATGGTTCTTCGCTTATCGTTCCTATAGTTTTGGCTAAACATTTAACAACAGCAACAAACATAAAACAACAACAAATAATGGTTAACAAGTGCCAGGTGGAACTGCAAAGAAAAAGAAAGATAAATTAATTATATGTATTCTATAATTAAGAATGTGCAAAAAAAAATTTGTATTTTAAATTATGGTTTAATAAATCATAATCACTGTATTTATATATATATATAATATATGTAAGCCACTTTCCTAATCGAGACAATCTAAACAATTTTTTTTTCAGTTTTTTTTATCACCTAGCTTTCTGTCTTTTATTTCAAAAGATTTTACAAGCTTTTTTTTTGAATTGAAGATTTTATTAAGCTTTAGACATCTCACCTTGCTCTGTGCCTGCACAGATGCTAGACCCACTGCTCCGCCCTTTTATACCACTTGCACAGTGGCAAAAGCACTGAAAGTAACCTTCTTGGGAAATTCCGGTCCGGGGGAGCCGCGCGTTTTGATGACCGGCTTGAGGGGCTGGCGGGGCTTAAGGGAGAGCAGTCCGGCCGAGGCGGCCAGTTCCCTGAGGCGCTGGGAGAAGCCGCTACCGGAGTGTCCGGACGTAGTGGCCGTGCTGTGGTGTTCGAGTCCAGCGCAGTCCAGAACATCCAGGCCGTTGTTGGAGCGGTACACCTGGGCGGTGGCGGTGGGATAAACCGCCAGATTGCTGCCACCGACGCCTCCTGTCGCTGAGGTTGAAGTGGTTGCCGTCGCCGAGGCAGCTGCTGCTGGTGTTATGTATCTGTAAAACGGATAACGGTTCAAATTAAAACTAGGAGTTCAAATTTTATTTTAATGCCTTAAACTCGGACACCATTTATGTCATTTAAAACGGCCGATTATAAGGTATTTTAATATTTTAAGGAATACATTTCTGTTTTACCTTATCATTATAAACAGTGTCAGCGGCTTGCCAAAAATTTTAAATTTACCGCATTAAAATAGTACGAACGAGCGTAAAAATCTGACTCAAATATGGTAGAGAAATGAATTTCTATATCGTTATTACCATCTGGATGAATGAAGAAGATTGGCACGGGCTGGGCGCTGGTATTACTCAGCCTGCTAATTGATTTATTTTTTATTTGACCAAAAACCAAGTAAATATGTACCGGGTGTGAAGAGATCACCACACCCGAAGAGGTGTGTCCCAGCAGGTCGCACACAACAGCTAACTCTTGGAAGGATGAGGCCGGCTCATTTGGATACTCGTGCTTGGCAACAACCCTGCTCCACAATCAAATCACAGCTATTTATTGATGATCGATCAGCAATTATTTGTGTGCCGAGTGGGCTTTGTTGAGGCTACTCTTGCTGCAGCGCTAAAGACGCTAATCAATTTGTTTACGAGCTAAACTTGTTTGGGCTACTATATAAACTATATCTATATCTATCTATATATAAAAAAGGCATTATATTGTTTGAACTGTTGCGCAAAAATATATATGCAATGATATCACACACAGCAGCCTCGTTTTTTTCGAGATAATTATATTGCTGCGAAAATAAATTGTTGGGTCAATAAAGTGTAATGAAATATGATGGGAGATGATGAGACGTGATTACACATCAATACGCTAGTAAGGAGATCTCAGAGCTCAATATATATATATATCCACCAAGTCGAAAGTGAAGCCCAAAAAATGGTTAACTTGTTGAGATTCAAGTGCCGATTCATGATTCGATTCATCTCAGAAGCAAATATTTACACAATTGTGTAACAAATTTTTTTGTTATTTTTCGAAAAACCGAACATGCACGATCGATCTTAAGAATCATAAGCGAAAGCTATTTATTTATTCATTTCAATGAGCACGGTAATTAATGACAAAAGTTAGCTCTGAAAAAACCTACGGCATGATCAATTTTATAAAAATTTTAGTAGAAAATTACCTTGGGTTGTATAGTTTAAAAAACATAAAAGTTTTAGTTTTTTTTAAATTAATTAATAAAGATTAATTATTAATTAACTCTATAATTTAGAGTTATAATTTTGTTCAATTTATTAGCCATATGTTTCAAAATTGTACCTTCCTTTTTCTGATAGCCGCTTTGATCTTTGTGGCTTTATACATTTTCTTCGACTTGTTGGGTTGTTATGTCAATTATTTGGGCAATATAACCTTGACAACTCTTGCTGAACTGAGTGCAGCTTACCCTAATTAGCCCTGCGTCCAAACTTCCTAACAAAATCAAATGCTGACTATCATTCTAAGTGGTTGGTAGTGCCTTAGAATACAAATTAGTCTTAAAAACTTCCAATGGGATATTCTTTATCAGCGATTTGGGTTTGATTTTATAGCCAGTGTGTAATCGCAGTTAGAGTAATGTCAATGTGCGTCACAGGCGCAGTCGAAGCCAAAGAGTTTAATTACATTCATTAAATTTATTTGCAAAGCTTTCAAATATTGGTCTCATTGCTTGCCTATACATGCCCTTTTCTTAAGTGCTCGAACCGTGTGAATTATCTTCTGGCTTCGTTTGAAAATTGTGTTCATCTCTTTTGCGGCCATTATTATTGTTATACCCTTGCAGAGGGTATTATAATTTGAAAAAAAAGTTTGCAACGCAGTGAAAGAGACATTTCCGACCCTATAAAGTATATATATTCTTGATCAGCATCACCAGGAGAGTCGATCTAGCCATGTCCGTCTGTCCGTCCGTCTGTCCGTCCGTCCGTTTCTACGCAAACTAGTCCCTCAGTTTTAAAGCTATCTGATTGAAGCTTTTACAAAAGTTGTCTTTCTATTGCAGGTAGTATATAAGTCGGAACGAGCCAGATCGGCCGACTATATCACATAGCTGCCATACAACTGATTGATTGGAAATGCCATAACTTTGGTGTTTGTAAAGTTAGGAAGTTGGGATTTTCTATGGTTTTTATTTTTGGCCAATCAATCCGACCTACCAAACTTTATAAGGATCGGCGGACTATATCCTATAGCTGCCATATAACTGAACGATTGGAAATGCCATAATTTTGGTGTTTTTAAAGTTAGGAAGTTGAAATTTTTATGAGTGTTAAGAATGCATCATATGAATAATTTTGGAGAATATAATTTACAGAATATTCTGCAAGGGTATTTCATCTTCGGCTCCGCCCGAAGTTAGCTTTCCTTTCTTGCTTTTGTTTTGTTTTGCTGGTGCTGCGCTTTATGTGTATATAATTAACCATTATCAGCTGGGAGTTGCATTCAAAATGTATTTTGGTCGGTGGCTTTTGTCTTGGTCGGCTTTTGTTTTCGCTTTGGCATTGAATTTTGCTTTGACTTTGAGGCTTTGAAGCATTCAGAAAATCATAATTAATTGTATTATTATAAACATCTTCATATTGTCTGACCCATCAACATATGTCTGACTGTATATGCATGTGTATGAGAAAATTGTTTGCCATTTTTTATACAATTTGCAGTTAAAGGGGATTTTTTCGTTGACTTTTTGTTTAAGTTTCTGTGGTATTTGTAGCTTTTTAGTATTTGTTGCAATATCAGGGCAATGTCAAGGCAATGTCAGAAGCAATGTCAGGTTACAAAAGGCAGTTGCAGAGGGAATGTTTTGAAAAATAAGTTGAAGCTGGAGAGTTTTAATTAAATGCGGCAGCGCTCTTTTCAAATGTTAATTAACTTTTGTGGGTATTTTTAGGCTAATATTTTTTCTGAAATATATTTTACGAAGACATACTTGTACCTTGCCTTTAATTGCTTAGATTTCAATTTCATTTGGTTTTTTTATCCTTTTTTATGTGGATCAATATTCTTTGTTTCTTTTTACATAATAATTACAATTTTACATAATAGTTACAAGTCTTTGAGCCCGTCAGCACTTGCCCAATCCCAAATTTTAGTTTCCAAGCATCTCCACCCCATTGCCCACCATTAAAACGCATGAAAATAGGTTTAACAAGAGAGAACGCTATAGTCGGGTGCCCCGACTATCAGATACCCGTTACTCAGGTAAAGGGAGTGCGAGGGAGATGGAGATAGAAACTTTGATCACGCATAACTTTTTAACGAATGGTCCGATTTGAAAAATTTCGATAGGTATTGATAAATACAATAAAACTGTATTTTTACTTTTCCGAAATATTTAAATTTTTAAAATCGTATCTTAGCGATTGTGGGCGTTAAAGGGGGCGTGACACCTTTTTGAAACAAACTTGCGCTGCGTAGGAACTCCTAGAATCTGCATGCAAAATGCCAATCTTCTAGCTTTTATAGTTTCCGAGATCTCAGCGTTCATACGGACGGACAGACAGACGGACAGACAGACAGACGGACAGACGGACATGGCTATATCGACTCGGCTAGTGACGCTGATCAAGAATATATATACTTTATAGGGTCGGAAACGCTTCCTTCTAGCTGTTACATACTTTTGCACGAATACAATATACCCTTTTACTCTACGAGTAACGGGTATAAATATATGCTAATTTTGACCCAATTCTCATCGCCTCTCTTTTTAGAGGGGAAGTGGGAAAGAAGCTACTTGATGGGGATCAGACCGTTTAACTTGATAAATCATAGCTGATCTCAGCTTTCCGAAAATGTTTTTTGCCTTCCCATTTTATTTTTGTTTATGCAGCTCTGTTCAAGTTCAGCGATCGCATAAATTTAAAACAAATCGAAAGGGAATGCGCAAACGTTTTCGGTTTTCGGCAAAGGCTGATCAATGAATACCAGACTGGCGGTTAATTTGATGTCGCAATTTTTTACCCGCGTTGCATCCGCGCACATATTTTAATTTCTATGTCAAGATGTTGTCAAACATTTGACAAATGCCCAACCGAGCTTCGCTGGCCAAGTACTCACACGTTAGCCAACAACACGCGCCCATGCTAAATATTAGGCAAACGCCTTGCATCTTAATTTGTCCAATGCTTTCGACATATGTAAATCCATCATATATAGTCAAGAAAAGCTCAAAAACCTAGCAATAAATATTGCGTTTGAAGAAATAGGTGTAGCACAAGTGTGCTTAAAAAATTAAGATTAATAGTGCTGGCAAAAATTGTTAAAATAATAATATAAGCTATGTTTTTTTTAGAATTACAAAACACTAATACTTCTTATAAGAAAATGTATCAATAGGTTTAATTTAAAAATTAAATATTTAATTAAATGTTTATCAAAATTCTATCATACAACACGTCACCACATTGGGGTAAGTTACAAACTATACATTTTTCTTCAATCCAAATTATAAACAAACTTAAACAAATAAACTGGTGCTTATAATTTTAATATTGTAGTTTAAGGCTTAAAGTTTTCAAAGCCAAAACAAATCCTAACTCGATAATATCGTTAGTGCAATCTATGCTTTGCCAGCTCTAGACCATATATGGCATAGAATAGGCTGGCGAACTGAGGCAGCAAGCGGCTGTCTTTTAACATAATTACATATTTTTACTGTTGCAGTTGCATCTTCTTTATGCGACCTGTCTGGAGCTTCCCCCTGTCGCTCTCAGCTTGTGTGGCATGTTAGGCAGCTGGCCAGAAAGTGGCAAAAAGAAAATATATAGTAACGAAAAAAAATTAAACAAAAGAAGTGCCGCACTTGCGCAGTTTCACATCCGCATCGCTCTCCTCCCTTTTATTCGCCCTCCTCATCCATGGTCCCAAAATTGCTTTATTTTGAGGCAAATGAAAAGCAATTTTTATGCCACAATTATCCGCCAGTGCCAAAGAGGAAGACGAACGCGAAGTGAGCCAAGTGTCAGCCACAGATTTAAAGTAAACAAGA